GCCGCTTGTTTACCTTCAAGCCTTTAAGACCCCAGACGTTATATCTTTTGATAGCCGGGCACCATCAGCTTTCTTCACCCACATTTGCTTATGCACCCATTTGTCTTCAGTGATCATATCTGGGAGGTGAGCACACAATGATATGATTTTTTGCTCTTGATGCCTGATAACTGATCTCTTCGGCACCTCATGATCTCACAGGCTGGTGTGCTTCTTCCATGTTCACCTACTATTATTGTTGAGCTGTTTATTTCTGTTTTCAAATCTGTGAAAATTTAATTGAAATATATTGGGGTCTTTCATTGGGTGCATATATGTTTATAAAGGTTATATGTTCTTGGAGTATTCTTTTAACCATTATGTAATCTTGTCTCTCATGTGACTCGCTTTGAAGTCTATTTTGCCAGAGATTAATAATGCCACTCCTGCCTTTTTATGGTTGACATGGCTTAGTAGATTTTTCACTATCCTTTGATTTCTAGTCTTTTTATCTTTGGGTTTAAGTTGTGTCCTTTGTAGGCAGCTTATACATCGGTCTTGTGGTCTAACCTAGTCTGCTGTGCTTTCTTTTGATTAGTATATATATCTCATTTACATTTAGTTTCATTATTGATATATTGGGGCTTGTTACTGTCACTTTGCTGTTTGTTTGGCTTCTTTTCCCTTTTTGCTGTGTGGCCTTATTAGAGTCTGTGTTTCTCCTCCATTTCTGTGCTGTTCTTGGGTCCTGTTTCATTGGGTTTGTTTCTGTTGGTGATGTTCACTCTGGTGCTGTCAGGTTTGCCTGCTGTTCTTGTTTCTCTGCCCACAGTGATCCAGTTAATATTTTTTGTAATTCTGGTTTTGTTTTAACGAATTCCTTTAGTTTTTTCTGTGTCTGGATATACCTTTATTCCTCCCTCATATTTGAGGGATAATTTTGCTGGGTACAGGGTTCTTGATTAGTATATTTTTTTCTTTCAGAATTATATATACGCCACTCCATTGTCTTCTTGCCTACATAGTTTCTGCTGAGAAGTCCAACCTTTTCCTTACCGGTTTTCCTTTGTAAATGACTGTTCTGAATTCTTTGTCCTCAGAATTCTCTCCTTTTCTTTAAAATTGGAAAATTTTATCACAGTATGTCATGGTGTTTTACTTTAGGGTCAAACTTATTTGGGGTTCTATCAGCTTCTTAAATAGTTATTTTTAACTCCTTTGTGATGTTGGGGAATTTCCCCCCCGTGATTTCTCATACTGTTTTCCCTGTATATTTTTTCTTCTTGCTCTTGGATCCCAATTAGATATAGGTTGTTACTTTGATAGAGTCCCATGTCATTTTCAGGCTTTCTTCTGATTTCTTCGCTCTTTTTGTTGATTGTTTCTCTTGTTGATCATAGAGTGATTGTCTTCAAGCTCACTACTTCAAATTTCCTTTTCTTCTGTTTTATTTCTCAGGTCTTTTACTGTGTAGTTTACTTTTATTATCTTGTTGTTTATCTTCTGGGATTTCTTTTGGCTTAAAGATTTTAATTTTTCAATTTCTTCTCTCGTTCTCGTGAGTGTCCCCCTTATCTCTTTAAGAGACCTAAGCAGCAATCTTCTGAATTCTGCATTTGGTAGTTTCAGGGCTCCTTTTTCTGGGTCCTCTATTCAATTGCGTGTTTTAATTTTGTGTGTGTGTTTGGTTTTTCTTGATCTTTTGAGTTTCCTACTATTTCCCTGGCATTGTGGTACAGTTATTTGTGATGTGTGTGATGCTGGGTCGTGGAGGAGTAACTGGCCTTATCTAGAGACATAGGAAGGGCCTATTAGGAGCCGAAAAATGGTGGAAAAGAGAAATGGGGGGAGAGCTGTGTAAGGGGGGAAGTGGGTGGAAGAAGTGAGAGAATAAACTAAAAATAATGATAGTAATGTTACTAGAGCTGCTTTAGGTACTTGCCTTCCCAAAATAAAGGTTTACTTTTGAGAAGCACAGAATGGGGTTTTCATTTAGAGGAAATTTATCAGGAATCTCCTGGGGGGTAGAGAGATCACCACATCAGCCTACATAACTGACTCTCTAGTGGGTCTCTTCCTGAAGACGTGAAAATCGGTTTTAAAATATTTGCCCAGAAGAGACTGTTGGGAAGGTTAAGCGCTTCTGGGAAATACAGTCTTAATATAGTACAGGAATTCTGCTCATCCTCAATCCAACTCTCCACTTTTGCTCTCTTGCCCTGCCTTAGTAATAATAAGCAGCCATGTGCATTGGTCAACAATTGTTTTAAATAACAGGAAAATTTAATCAGAACTCGTAGCCTTCATGGGTGCATATTTCACGATGGAAAAGAGAGCACAAAAAGAGAATTAGTGGGGCAGGGAAAGTGTAAGTAAATATTCAGAGCAGATGAAGATATTTGTATATATATGTTTATAGAAATATTACTAAAATAGAAAAGAGAAAGAAAAAAATGAAGGAAGGAGAAAGAGAAGGGAAGAAGATAAAAAGACAAGGAGAAAATCACTGCCATCTAGTCGATGCCAACTTACGACCCTGTAGGACTGGGTAGAACTTGCCACTGTGAGTTTCTGGAGCGGTAACTTTAAGGGAGTAGAAAGCCCTGACTTTTCCCATGGTGCAGCTGGTGATTTTGAACTGTGGACCTTGTGGATCACAGCCCAACATGTAACCACTACCCACCAGCACTCCAAGGAGAAAAAGGGCAAAAGCGTGTAGATGCGTGAGAACAGAAGGAAAAGAAGAGTTGACAGAGACAAACGACTGGGGTTTGGCTTGGGTGTGAGTACTGGAGTTCTGTTGCTTTGACACTGTGGATGTGGGTGCAGTCAAAGCCCCCTCTCCCAAAATTCTTGATTGGGTGCATATGACAAAATCTACAGGCCTGCTTCTCTTTTTTTGCCTGGGAGGAATGCATATTCTCAGGATGGTGGGGTCTCACTGTCCGAACAAGTGGGAGAGAAGTAGATTAAAATAATAGCATCTTATAATAGAAGGAAAATATGTAAAATGAAAAAAAAGTTGAAAAATTAAACCACCTGTGGGCAGGAGTTTCTGCTTCTTTGGTTGTGATTAAGTGTGGACTTTTGTGCCAAATGGGGGAGGGGGAGCATGTGGGAGGCAGGGTATACTAGAGAAGGAGGCAGAAAAGGAGGAAGGGGAAAATGGCTAAAAACGTAGCTTGGATACTGAGAATGTCTGCATCAAGTTATCCTTGTGGTCTGTCTCACAGGGCCCCCAGAGGCCAGTGAGGTAAGATGTTCGGTTAACCAGAAAAAATCAGCTGTGCCAGGCAGGTGTGGGGCTCCCAGAAGCCGCTTGTGCCACTAGCCAGTGGTGAAGAGGCGTCTGTCAGCAGACGGTGCTGCGTTCCCTTTAATAGCTGTGGTGTACTTAGCTTTTAAGTCAGTGTCCTTGGTGCCAAGATGTCCCTCGTAGTTGCACCTCTTCGGTAGTTGCCGAGGAGAGTTTACTGTGCCTGTTATCTGGTGCCCGTATCCCCCTCCCTTCTCCCCAATCTTTATATTACTCCTGAGGGGGGGGACCCAGTGGATTTGAACTTGCAGTTGGAAGCCCGACGTATAACCCACTGGGCCTTAGCATTGAGGCTATAGATAGAGGGTATTTTTATGTGATTGACTTTAGACACCAATAATTTTTAAATTCTTGCCCTCTTTAGGAAAAAGACTTCAACGTGGTGGAGCACAGTAGCTGGTTGCCTCAGTGTGGGAAGTCCTATGTACTTCCGTTCTGGTGCTCAGGAATTTGGAGAACCAGGATGGTGGAAGCTTGTTCACAACAAGCCCCCTACAATGAAACCTGAAGGAGAGAAGTTGTCTGCTTCTACTCTGAAAGTTAAAGGTACTGTGAGGAGAAAAGTGCTAGCCAGATCAAAGTCAACCCCATAACAGCTCATTGGTATCTCTGTTTGGCAGCTTTATTTTGGCATATTTTTTGTATGCTATAAATAAACATTTAATTACAGAACTTTTCCTTAATGAAGTTATCAGTTTTATAAACCTCTGTTGGTATCTGAAAAATGCCTTATTTTCCATCGAATTTCATCTTCACTTGCTCTATTTGGAGAATTTTAAACATAACAAAAGTGGAAAATCATATAGTAAATTCTCAGGTACTTTTCCCTCAGTTCATAGTGAACTCTGAGTGGTGGCATTTTATTTAGAGCCATAGGTATTAGCCCCTCCCTACTCCTACTCCTACCCCGTGGGTGGGGAGCAAAATTGTGTAGAAGCAAATCTCAGATATTTAATCTAACAATTTGATTTTAAATAATTTCAGTGTGTGTTACAAGAGATAAGGACTCTTTCTTCCTTTGTAACCTAACCATAATGCTGATTTCACAGCTTAAAGAAATATACAATAACTCTATACTGTTGATTTGATTTTTTAAATCTAAAAGCATTTTTAAACAAGATCTAAAATTTTTAAAAATATAATTGGAAAAACAAATCCAGTAACATTGATGGGTATAAAATTCAGAAGATTTAGTATCCTCCTCACGCTTTCTCTAGTTGCACTACCCAGAATAGCCACTGTTATCTTTTTTAATATAGCTTTTGGAAATTATCACTGTATATTGAATGATATACATTTTTAAATTTGTTTCTCAAAAACAAATTGAGTCATATTATTATATTCTCCATTTTCCCCCTGTATCCCAGTATATCTTGGATATCTTCTCATAATAATACATATAGTTATAATTTATTTCTTATTATTTTATTGTGTTTTATTATATGACTGGGGACCCTTGGTGATCCTGTGGTGAGCATTGTTGTACTAACTGCTAGACTGGTGGTTCAAACCCACAAGTCACTCCTTGAGCAAAAGCTAATGTAGTCTGGTCCTGTAAACATATACAAGTCTTGGAGTGTTTATTTGAAGAGAAAAAAGAATGACTTTTATTTTTTGATGGCCTTGTTGATAAACCAATTTCCCTAGCAACAAGTTAATTTGAGCATTTAAAAAGATAGCCTTCAGTGATCTAACAACAAAACAGTATACAGTCTGGAAACTCTAAGGACGAGTTCTCTGTCCTTTGTGGTTCCTGTGAGTTGGAATCCACGTGATGGTATGGGCAATGGCAGTGACATCGTCTGACTGACTGTACAGTAATTTCCCAAACTATTCATTTATGGATGGACATCTTGTTCCTACTGTTTTTTAGTTATTTTAAACAGTGCTACAATTGTACAAATTTGTTATAAATTTCTAGAAACATAACTGTATCAAAAGCATATTCAAAATTTTCACCTGGATTGCCAAACTGTCCTCCCCAAAATTGCCGCCATATTTATGCCTGACAGTACATGAGAATGCCTCTTGCTGACCATTATCAGACTTCTAACATTTACTGTTCTCGTACATTTTCTCTGTGTAGAACATAGAGCTGTAGGTTCACAGTAACAAATTAGCAAAAGAACAGTTGCGTAGTTATGTAAGAATGTAAATATGTACTTTTCTACCAGCCTCAAAACCAATTCTAGACCCCATCATTACTGTGGAGGGACTGAGGAAACGAGTGAGTCGGAATCCTGTGGAATCTGCCATGGAGTTAAAGGAGAAAAGGTCACGTACTCAAGAAGCTAAAGACATTAGAAGAGCCCAGAAGGAGGCGGCGGGTTTTCTCGACAGAAGCACTTCTTCTACCCCTGTCAAATGTATTAGCCGAGGCCGCAGGCCAGAGGTGATTCTTGAAAAAGGAGAAGTGATTGACTTTTCATCCTTGAGCTCCTCCGATCGAACCCCCCTGACAAGCCCCTCTCCTTCTCCATCGTTGGATTTCTCTGCCCCTGGAACACCTGCTTCTCATTCAGCCACTCCCAGCCTACTTTCAGAAGCAGATCTCATTCCAGATGTGATGCCCCCACAAGCCTTGTTTCATGGTAAGATTTCTTTCCCTTGAATCCTTTATTTTATGTTTGGACCATATGTAAATTTGTGGGTTTTCCCTTGTGGGTGTGTGGGCTCTGCACTTCTCTCCTGTGCCTTAATCACACTGCTTTGTGCTCTGTACAGATGATGATGAGATGGACGGTGATGGAGTTATAGACCCAGGAATGGAGTACATCCCACCCTCTGCTGGGTCAGCAGCTTCTGGGACAGTGGTTGGGGGCAGAAAGGTCAGAGCACCTGAACAGATAAAGCAGGAGGTAGACAGTGAGGAGGAAAAACCAGACCGGATGGACATTGACAGCGAAGACACCGATTCTAACACGTCTTTGCAAACAAGAACTCGAGAAAATAGGAAGCCTCAACTGGAGAAGGACACGAAACCTAAAGGCCCCAAGTATACGCCCATGAGCATCTATGAGGAAAAGCTGATTCTGAAGAGATTGGAAGCTTGTCCCAGTGCTGTTGCTATGACGCCTGAAGCTCGGAGACTAAAGCGTAAATTGATTGTCAGACAAGCAAAACGGGATCGGGGATTACCACTTTTTGACTTGGATCAAGTTGTTAATGCTGCTCTTCTATTAGTTGATGGAGTTTATGGAGCCAAGGAAGGAGGCATTTCTAGATTTCCAGCTGGCCATGCCACCTACAGAACAACCTGCCAGGACTTCAGAATTCTTGACCGATACCAGGTGAGTGCTGGCACATGCTCTAAAACTCTGGGGGTGGGGGTGGAGGTATTGCAGGCTAAACCAGGGGATGAATAGCAGTCATTCTGTGACTTAAAATCCTGAGTCGTTTGAGGCGAGAAGAGAAA